TCTCAGCTGATCCACGCTGACCGCTGAGCTCAGAGGACATGCGGTTTCCACACTGCTCTGTACATGAATCAGACACTCTCTGTACAAGTTGAACAGTGACATTTCAGAGAGCAGACTGCTCTACACAGACACTGCAGAGCAGAGGCCCCCTGCTTCGCATTGCCAGCAAACAAAAATGCTCTTGAGATCCTCAGGCCACAGAGCAAGTGAAAACTGAGCAAAACAGAAAGGGTCATGGGGAAGAGAAGAAATTGTAGAGAAGAACAGAGCAGAAAAAAAAAAATCAAAGACTGATGCTTTATATCTTTTCTCACTAGAAAGGGGTAAGACCCCTCTAAAGCAACAACAACAACTGTTTCTTTTACTATTTATTGTATTACATAGATACTAAGATCAACAAATGAAATTTTTGTCCAACAGGACCAAAACCAGAAAAACACTATCAAGCTAGATGAAAACCCAAACACTTGACGTAACCCTTGTTGTTCTCAGGTTAGGATATCCACATCTTCACTGTCGACAGAAACAGGACAGAATCAAAAGCCAGAGGTAACAAATACCTCAAGTAAGCAAAATCAGTAAAATATCAAATTCTTAGTCATATGTAATAGAAAGGTAACATTAAGATTTTTTTTTTCCCCAATTATGGAACTCAGATTCTTTCCTCCACAGATACCTGAGCAGCACATAAAGCCTGCAGGAACAGGCAGTGCCCTATTGCAGGCCTTTTAGGATGAAATACTCAAGCAAGATAAGAAATAACATTTATAGTATAATTTCACAAAGTGTCTTGTCTGTTCTTCAGCTATTCTGTATCCTGTAGTCCTCAGTACCCGTAACAAGCTAGCCAAGGTTTCATAAAGACAAAGTGTATGCATAGAAGAAAGCATTTTAAAATCCGTACAGTTTTCTGGCAGAGAATTTAAAAATAGGCTTTAGTTCACCCCAAAATAATTAAGTTCAGGTCTAGTTCATTCCTCATGTGTTTATTTAACAATTCAACAGCTCCCAGAGCTGGACATGCCACAGCTTTCACAGGCTCTCCAATATCAAGCTCGTTTATCCCTCGCCACAGTTTTTCCTCGCTCTCTAATTATATCTGCCCTTAATGCAGCAGAAGCCACGTCCACTCCAGACAGAACAGATCATCTTCTTCTTTGCCCAGTACCTCAAAAATTATTCTGCCCTTGGTAGTTTGTTCAGTGGAAAAGTCCCTGTGATTTTAACACATGATATTTCTCCATTGAAAACGAACGAGGTCTTGACCTTCCGAATGCATGAAACTCCATCTGTTACTGCCCCAACACAAAGGGAGCCACAGCGAGCACGCAGGGTTTTGTCAGCTATTATCTACAGAACAACAACACGTGCTAACCGAACCAGTCACCACCGTCACCGTACCTGGGGAACGGTTCGTGATGACTGATCTTTTTAAAATAAATAACGACGCCGATGAATTGTTTCCCTATTGGCAAAACAAAGCCAATCCTAACACATTTAAGCAGTCTCCTGTTTATTTCCATGTACAAACCCTGTAATCCAATTTTCAAACATCACCTAGATTAACAGGAGCAAACAAGAACCTCCATCATTTTTATTTCTTGCTTTAGCTTAGTTCTGTATCCTTTTTTTTAAATTTATTTTGCCTCTGAATTTACTTTATCCAAGGTCAAACATGAGCAGAGACAGGAGCAAGGATACACCAAATGATAAAAATCACAGTCCTGCTCTGCCTCTTGCAAGCTGTGAAGGGATCTCAGATGAACTAAGCCAAGCTTTATTTGCAGGGACATGCCCTGGATGAAGGAAGTTCTACACAATGCTGCACTCGGGCCACACCAACCTTTGAATCTGAAAAGCCTGTAGTAGTTCAGCAGAATTCGGTTAGAGCCTTTTGGCTGTGCTGAAGGTAACTTCTCTGCCATGGTTCATCTCTTCAAGTGCCACCAACTTGAGATTTGCTGGTTTCTCCTTGGGCTTTTACAAAGAGTAAGAGAATTTGCTTCCTGCTGTTAGGGGTTTTTTTCCAGCCCAGTCTGAGTTCTAAGAGGGAAACCTTCCTCAGCGGCTTTATGATTCAGGTAACGGGAACGGTGCTCTCGACCATTTGTTCCTTGAGGACTTTCTAGTCATATTTTGCTTCTTTCTTTCATCAACAGAAAAAGCTCTAACTTTAAAGGTTTTTGTAGATTCATGATGCAGTCACCTCACAAGTATGTTTTACATTGCTTAGCACTTGACAATTCCATCAGGTGCTTGGGACACGGAAGGATATTGCCTTCCTATGCTTACAGAGTAGGTCAGACTACAGACAGGCACGGGGTTCACACAGAATCACACACAGAATCGCTCGGTTGGAAAAGCCCTCTGAGATCATCATGTCCAACCGTTCCTGTCTACCCACTAAACCATATCCTTAAGTACCTCATCTACCCGCTCTTTAAACACATCCAGGGATGGTGACTCCACCACCTCCCTGGGCAGCCTGTGCCAGCTTCTGACGACCCTCTCAGGAAAGAACTTCCTCCTTATCTCTAACCTGAACCTCCCTTGGCACAGCTTGGTGCCGTTTCCCCTTGTTCTGTCCCCCATCACCTGGGAGAAGAGACCAGCACCCACCTCTCTCCAAGCTCCCTTGAGGCAGTTGTAGGTGGTGATGAGGTCTCCCCTCAGCCTTCTCTTCTCCAGGCTAAACAAGCCCAGTTCCCTCAGCCGCTCCTCATAAGGCTTCATTCACCACAAACTGACAATTTAGACAGCTTATAATTTTGAGTGCCAGTTCATTCTGTTGATGCTTTTTTCTCTTCCTAGTCCTACTATCTACTGTCCTCCACGTGCCTCTATCGGATGAGGCCTTCTGAAATGTCAATACGTATTTATTAATAACTTTTCTTCTTGGTTTAGTCTGTGTGTGCAGGGAGACACTTCACCCTCAGTGTGCTTTTCTAAACCATATCTGTGCCACATCCCCACACTGCAGGCTGTTGCTGGGATCTTTTAGTCAGAGGCATCACTATTAAACTCGGGACTCTCATGAGCCCATAATGTCTCCGTTCTAATCTTGTCTCATGCTTGAGTTGTTAATTCACATGTTTGTCTGCCTTGAGTCATTACAGCTCGTTTTGAGCAACATTGCTGAGTTCTGAATGCTTTTGACAAGGACAAGGTTTACTCTTTACTTGCTAATACCAGTACTTAAAACAAACAACTAGCACAGGCATTAACACCATTCAGGAAAATGGCAGGCAAGTGGGATATGAGTAACTGCAGGAGGAAGGTACGGGAGGAAAATTCAGACCTGAAACCTGTGCCGAGCTTTCCGAAGCTTGGAAGTCCAAAGCCTCTGAAGTCTCTATTTGGCAGTGGCCTTCC